TTTTATTTTTATCAATTAAAATAGAATAACCTCATACTTAATTGATAATATATATCATATATATAAGATTGTAGTAGCCCCTTCATTAATTTGCATTTAGATGCGATGAAATTCATTTTTCTAATAAAATAGGAAAAAAACTATTCTTAACTTTTTCCAAATTAAATTAGGATAAACATTTACTAATATATTCCTTGATTTAAAAGTTGAAATATAAAAGGTCAAATGTATTTTTATTAAAGATATTTTGTATTTTAAAGCAATGTTATAAATTTTCATGTTTTATTACATTATAATTGTTGTATGTTAGATTTAAAACCAAGGATTATATTAGCAAATGTTTATCCTTATTCAATTTCAGAAAAGATTAAGAATAAAAAATATTTTCTATTTTGTTAGAAATACTTTTAGTCGTTATCGAAATAAAGATTAATGATGGTTACTATAATCTTGTACATATGTGATATGACATATATTATCAATTAAGAAAATATATGAGACATTCTATTTGAATCGATAAAATAAGATTAAGAAAAAACATACTTCTCAACTTTTTAATTTTTTATTAGTTAAACAGATTTATAAGAAAAACTTTCTTTAAAAATAATATTTTTAGTAGAAAGAATATGTTTAAAAAGAAAAAAATAATACGTTTATTAGGAAAATGGACATTTTCCCCCAACTAATTAAATATAGGGGCATGTTGATTCAATTTTTTAGTGGATGACATTTTTATTCAATTTCGATTAGTTTAAAGACATTTTAAATCCCTTTTCAATAAATAAAAATTATTTGTTCCTTACATATTCAAAATTTTAGATGTTGTCGTACACGTCATATGTCTAGTTGCAATAACACGAGGACAATTCGATATACGAAGTATCACGTATATATTCAAAATTTGGTGGAGGGCCCACTTCAAGAGGATGCGAGGTGACCTCATCAATAATGGCGAATCCACGAGTTTCAATAAGGGTGTTGAGATCTACCCTGAAGATTTAATATAGATCTACAATAAGAAGTAATTTCTTACTTGTATATATTTAAGCTTATTTTTTATATATCTAATATAATTTTCAATAAAAGATATTTAACCGATTATTTTTCAATCTATGTGGCTAGTGGCTATGCCATATTACTACTTATCAGACTCGAGCTTTAATTAATTTCATAATTTATGAAGACTCTGCCTTGTAAATATTAGTAAAATATTAACAATGAGCACCACGTGTGATAAGTCAATATGAGAAATCATTCACATAAGCAAACAATGAAAAGCATATAATACCACACTGACAGTTGCCCATGACACCTATTTTTATTGCATTATATTCCCAAGGTTTCTTTTTATGCTTCAAAAATGCCTTGTTTAATGTCAGAGTGTCAATGAGCAATTCCAAGATTTTGACCAGTCACACTTACACTCACACTATTACATTTCCTGTTTACCACAATATATATTTAAAATTTGTTAATTCATTTTTTATTTTAATTTATTTTGATAATGTGTCATTGTGTCAAAAATTTATTGAAAACAATATTTCTATCCAATTATAATAAAGATAAAATATGTGTACATTCTAGTTTTTCAGATTCTATATATAAAATTATATTTAGTGCATTGTAATACTCTATAATAATGAATATTTTCTAAAGTTAGGATCGAAAAGTAATTAGAAGTATTATTTTTATAAAAAAAATTATGCTGCTCAAATCATTCCGACTATCTAATATAATATCCTTATTTTATTGGAGAATTGGAGTCTACGTCAATTAAAATGATTAGAAAAAAAAGATAGATTAAATTTTTTAAATGAATGATATTTGTCACAGTCTAACCCACTGGATCGTGCGGACACCTACTCTAACACGTAGATAGGAGAACTTTCAACACCCAAAACGATCCTAACATGCAAAAAATAAATTAAAAACATAATCTAACACCCTAAGTAGATAGAAAAATACAATAAATTGACATACAAAAACCCTCAAGTTATTTAGAAAAGAGATCACTACTACTTCCCAAGGAACCAGTCTAACCAGATACAAGGACGACTAAGAAGATATAACGACTGAAAGGAAATACATCATAGCTCCCATCATAAAGAAAGGAGAGTAGAAGTTGTTGGAGATCATCACCGTCTTCACCTATGAAACATCGTTGAATCCTGCAATCAGACTATGCCAACTAGCTTAGCAAAAATATTATCAGTACAAACAACACATATTGATAGGCAACATCGGTCGATCCGAACCTACCACATAGTATAATGCAGATAATCAGGAAACATGAAACTTAGTTACAAACTAAGACCCCGAATCACCCTTTTTCCATGCTTAATATAGCACCACTTCGTGAAACTTATACATTTCTCTCAAGTCACCCCGCCTTCTTTCGCTGTCAACTCCATCATCTAGGTTGCCCTAAGGCTTCTCAAACCTACCCTTTACACCACCGAATATCAGATCATAACCTAATCCCTCTATCACATAGAGATTTTCTGAATAGAAGACCACCACCCACTCTATTGACCAACCTACTAATCTTCCTCAAATTCTCATGCCAACTCCTGGTTCTTGACCTATTCTAATAAACCACATACAAGACTAAACTACCTTGCATCAAATCCCCATTACCAAATATGTTCTAAACACCGAACCACCCTATCCAGTCCCAACATTGAAAGCACCAGTCATCAGCCTGACCTAGTAATCACAACTTAGCAAAACAGATAATGTACAATTAAAATCACAATCATAATACAACTTAGACTCTCAGTCCTCACCCAGAATTAACGTTCACATGAAACCTGTCTCACATGATCACACACAAATTCATACTTGAGTCCAATTTACTTTTCAAGTAATATGGACCACTCAAGGATCCAACATCCATACATCACATTATAAAAAGGTAAATTTGATTCACTCATGGAATCCACATATAAACTGTTAGTCTGCTAGTGCGGTACCCGAGTCAATCAGTCTTATTATTAATACCAGACGTAGTATCCAAGTCAACCGATAGTATTTATGTACCAGTGTGGTATTTGAGTCAACCACCAATCACAAATAACATACACAATCATTGCATGAGATTATCAACATGATGACATTTCATATTCTTCCTTATGGTTTTTCGACATGCATCGCACCAATGATACTATAAAGCAGTAGATATGCATACATACATAATTTGGAAAACACACACTCATCACCTGCTGAAAGTTAATCTCTGGCAAATCCCTGCTCATTCTAAACTAGGCACAATTTTCTTCCCACGCAACACCCAATCATACGATGGAACAATCACCATTAGCTAACAGCCACAACCTAACCACCTTAGCCATAAGTTTAATTGTTTAGACTCCGTTCTCAAAGGCCTATTCATGCAATCTTTGAGAATCCACAAGATATCATGTTGTAAAAATGGGTCTAACTACTCAATAAAGGAAATTTAGCCTACATGGGCGCTAAGCATCAGCTAATGAACCTTGCCTATGAGTTTTCGACTTCATGAGAGCAAACCGTGAAGAACGAGGATCGAAATTCCTTGGATTTTCACCCTTTTGTGTTGTAATCTCTCTCCCCTCCCCC